CAGGCCCACCTGGCCTGCTGTACTTTGTGAGGCTTGGAGAGAGAGGTCTTGCCTTTCTGTCTGGTGTATTCTGGGAACTGCTGGTCATTTGCCGCCTCCATCCCTCCCCCTGAGCTCTAAGTAGTCCTGGGGGGGCTTAGGGGGAGGGGTGTAGCTTGAAACTTGTAGTCAGATGGTCAGGCCTGTCCCACTGGATAGAGAATGGGGTAGAGCCTGGAGTCCTGACTAGTGTTAAGATCCAGTGTGGGGCAGAGTGGCCAGTGGGGGGCTGTGGAGTGAGCAGAGGTTGGAATCCTATTTGTTGGTTGCTATGTCTTCTGCCCACTTGTCCCTTGTTCCATTGGGACCCTAGAGACCCAAGCAAATGGGCAAGGGTTTCAGTTTTGGGCAGGCACTGAAGGGTGACAGAGAGGATAGATAGTTCATCCAGGAACGGATCCTAGGTGTCTAGAGGGCCCTCTTGTGGGAGAGGACTCCCTTTCCATGCCCTCCTGACTTCCTGCCCCAGGCTGGAGGGTATCCAATCTTCATGGTCAGAGAGAGGAAGAGGTGAGCAGTGAGGCAGGCCCTAGACTCTGCTGCTGACAGAACTGCACACTCCTCATGCCTTCAGCTGAGTAACCTGAGACCCAGCCTATGGGGGAACCAGCGATTCCCCCAACCAGGGCTTTCCCTGTCCTCTATCATTGGAATATCGGCCACTCTCCCTTGGAAGGAGACCCTACCAACAGACTTGATCCTAGCAATGGCTAGTGTGTAGTCAGGCAGCTCTAGAATGTAAACCCCTCAATGGGTGGTAGTCTCTCTCTCTCTCCCTCCCTCCCTCTTCCTCTCCCTCCCTCCCTCCCTCCCCCCCCCCCCCATCTCCCTCTTTCTCTGAAACAGGGTAGCTCTGGCTGTCCTGGAAGTCACTCTGTAGACCAGGCTGGCCTTGAACTCACAGAGATCTGCCTGCCTCTGCCTCCCGAGTGCTGGGATCAAAAGTGTGCCACCACCTCCTGGCTAGTCTTGCCCTCTTAGAGGATTGTTTAGTCCTAGGGAGAAAGAGGAAGGTGGCAGCCTTGCTTTTGGTTATGAGCCAAAGTGTGGTGGCTGTTCCTGAAGAGGGCAGAAGCTCACATTGTCACAGGGGAGGTATAATGAGGTTCATATGAAGGCCCAGCCTCCTCTGTAAACTGATTAGCCTTGATGTCCACTGCCCTCACCTCTCCCTCATCTGGGGCTGGGTGTAGGCATGTGGGGACAGAGCCCACAGCTGAGCTTTCCTGGCTCTGTGTTCTGGGTTCTACCTGGCCCTCTTTAAGCTTCCTAAGCACTGTCAGGTAAGGGTCCCGCCTTGGAGCTGCCACATGGTAGCTGCCTCCTCAGTCACTTCCAAGGGAACCCTCTTGACTGGTGGTGGTAGAAAAACAGATAAGATCCTGTGGGTGTGCCAGCCAGTTTCTCAGAAGTGCTAGAAAGAATGAAGCCATAGCGTTGCTGGCAGGGAGTGTAGAAGGTGGCCCTGGCCACGGCAAGGCTACCTTGGTGGGAGGTAGGGCCAGCCATTCTGAGGAAGGTTCCAGCGCTGTCCTCCCCATGCCCCCTACTTGGATCCCTGGCTTCCTTCTGGCGCCCTTCCAGGGGCACTAGGGCAGCCCCCCCGCCCACCCCACAGGCCTCCTCTCATGACGCTTTGATCGCAGACCTCACAATTGCGTTTCAAAGCATTCACCGCCCTTGTTTGTGTCCCTCTGCTGCCGGCTGGAGGCTGAGGTTTCAGCGTTCCTAGGCCTGGCCTTTGAAGCTTGCTCTTATTAATCTTTTAACATCCCCCCAACCCCACCCACCCCTCCAGCCTGTGGCACTCACAGGAGCCTGGAGCCGCATGGAAAGAATGCCCTCAGCCTGCAGCTGCAGCCCCTTCCCAGGTCCTGCTGGTCTCCTGGCTGCTCTCAGTCTTTGGCCATGTCAGCCAGCCCCAGCCTCCCCCTCCCCAGCCTCCCCCCCCCTTGGGTACAGAGACTGAAAAAGAGGGGAACATTCTGAGGTGTGATGCTAGGGCTTCTTGGGCCTCTATGGCCCTGGGCTTTTCTATCATGTATCTTGACAAGGCGGCTTCAGAGCCTTGTGTCCAAGGATGTCAATGGAAGCAACCTGTCTACCTGTGCCTAAGAAGGTAGAGCCAGTCCTTGGACAGAAACCACGTACCCTCCACCCCTCTTGGACAGATATAGTTTAGAAAACTTTGATCCCAGGCATTCAGTTGGGTTTTCAAAGCACTAGCTATCCATGTTTGGGTGGGATAGGAGGAACTTGGGCTGGTCCTGGCTGCAGCTTCCTACTTAGTCCAGTGGTGACAATCCTGCCTGGGCCAGTGTATCGTACAAGGAAGTAGTCTCTCAGCTCATGACTTCCCTGAAGCAGCTTGATTTTGGGAACCAGCCTTTGCCTCGTGCCTGGGCATGCCTTCCTAGGGCACTCCTGCCACCCAGTGGCTCTCAGTGCATCCTAACTGCAGAGATGCTCCCACCCATAGCCCCTCACTCTTATTTTGGGGGTCATAAGTGGAGCAGGGTGTGGGGCGAGTTGTATGGCAATGGGTCTTTCTCTTCTATTTCTATTCCTAGATAGTGTCAGGCTGGTAGACCCAGACCCCAACTTAACAGCCCTATATCTCCTCTGACCCCCTCTGCAAAGTGTACCCAAGACATACGCTACAGTGCACTGTGAGCGTCCAGACTGACAAATAGTTACTGGTACTACAGTTGGGCAGTGGAGTGTGCAGGACACCACAGCCCACACAAATGCAGAGTGGGGCTCCTAACTGTGTCTTGCTGTCCTGTGGTCCATGAGGGTAGAGTGCTGGAGGGAGGATGGCCTGAGCCTGCTGAATACTGCCTGTCTGGCCCTCTGAGCCCTCCCTGCCCTCTACCTTCCCTGTAGGCAAACCTCTTCCCTGCTGCCCTTGTACACTTTGGAGCTGAAGAACCAGCAGGTGAGTGAGGCCTCACTTCTGACCTCTGCCCACAGGGATATCCCGGTTTCCCCGATGCCCAAAGCAGTGTTCCTTAGAAAGTATTTGCTCTGAGGTCCTCGTGGGCTTGGGGGATCTGCATGCAGCCCAGTACCCACCCCGCTTACAGTATGTGGGTGGAAGTCCAGGCCTCGTCTGCTAAGGGTGAGCTCTGGCCTCTACAGGTCTCTACCTGGAACCTGGGCTACTAGAGCACACAGTCTCCCCATCTGCGGCCGACGTGCTGGTGGCTAGGTAAGTTCCTGAGGGGTTGGGAGCCCCTCCAAGGCTGTGCCCACTACCTGGCCTTGGCCTCTCACCCCTAGGTGTATGTCCCGGGTCGCCGGGTCCCCACCTCTGCTGCCAGCCCCAGACCCTGTGTCCCTGGAGTCTGAGCCAATCGCTGAGGAGGGGGCACTGGGGCCCTCAGAGCTCATTCAAGGGACAGCCCAGCCTGTGAGGAGAAGCCTGGGCAAAGTGCCCAAGTGGCTGAAGTTGCCAGGTGCCTGTCTGTCATGGACTAACTGGGTAGGGCAGGGTGGCTGGGCAGCAACCCAGGAACATGTGGTCATTCTGGTGTTTGTGTCACAGCCAGCAAGAGGTGAGAGCTACCAGCCTGGAGATGCCACAGGATCCCACCCCACCCACCCCGAGCAGGAATAAAGACTCGCGCTTCTCTCGAGACCCTTGGGTTTTCTTTTCTGCAGAAAGGGCTCTCAGGCCTCCATCTAGCTCAGCCGCATTCACTACTACTACTTGAGAAGGCCAGAACCCTGGGTAGGCCACTTCTCGTTCTTATCTGACCTCATTAGCCCCTAACCCTGAATGGACACAAGTGGAGAAGGAAGCCTCCTTGGCAAATTACCTACAACCCAGGGCCATTCCAAGCTTCTGGCATAAAGCCAGAGAGGGGGAAGCAGGCACCTGGCCACAAAGCTATCTTGGCTTGCCTGGCCTGGGGTATTCTGGTAGACCTTTCTATACACCTTCAGTGGGACTGCGGGTCCCGTTCCAGCACTTAAGCTGGTTGGAGCTCTGTGTCCCACCAGCCAGCCCCTTCCCAAATGTCTCCCATCTGCCACCTGCTCCCCAGGGCTTGGAAGTCAGAAACCTCGTGTGTGTGTGTGTGTGTGTGTGTGTGTGTGTGTGTGTGCGCGTGCGCGGCGTGCAGGGTGTTATAGACATTTAGAGCAGCTCTATCCATCCAGCTAAATCCAGTCTTCTTCAGAGGTTGCCCTCAGGTCTACTCTGGGCTCTCTGAGAGTAGTTATTGTCCCCTCATGTTATGTCTTTCCTCCTTGATCTCCCATCCCCACATCTAGCACTATCGTTACGGTTTCTACCACTGACAGAGTTCTCAGTTCTGGGCCTTGATGCTGGGTAACTGTTGGGAGCTCCACGTTGTCTCCAGATGGACTGACAGTCAGGAGCTTTTTAAGTGCCTCCCTAAGACCTACGAGGGCACAATGTGTGGGGTTAGCAAGGTACCCTCAATGTCTCCTGAGACCTGGCCTGCCAGGGCCTGATCATCAGAGGGCTTGGATGGGGGCTTCCGGGTCGGCCTCTCAACTCGACCTCTCGGAGGGCACAGCCTGTCCCTTATCTATGCCCAGACTGCAATTGGACAGGGCAGGGCCAAAGGAGAGCCTTCCTGCAGTTCTGCACGGCCACAGGACAGGCCCAGGCAGGTCTCCAGGTCTTCTCACCTTGTGTATCCTGGTTCTGCCTCCACCAGTGAACCGTTACTGGTTCGCAGAAACAGTCTTGGACCCCACTGCCTGCTAGTGGCAGTTGCTGTGGCCTGTGGTAGGAGTAACATTTTCCAGTGAGCCAACCACATATGTGAAGGCCCTGGCTTGACTGCACATGTGCACACGTGCTGCTTGTCATCCTGCACTCTCAGAGTTATGCGTTCGTCCCACCGAGCTGGGAAGGGAGCAGGGGGCTCAGGCTTTGATGCAACTAGACTTGGGGGGGTGATTAATGGCAACAAGAAGGCCAAGCCTCAGAGAGATGGTGTTGATTTAGATGTTGCTTTGTAAGAACAAATTTACAGCTCAGGGAGGCGTCCTGGGGGTGGGGGGTCAGGTGGCTAGAAAGCTACCCAGCAGCTTTGATGTAGGGTGGCAGGGAGGCAGCATTGCCAGCAGCTGGTTTGTTTATAATGAAAGCCTGGGGGCGGGGCTGTAGCTGGAGGGCGGGCTGGGGGTGGGGGGCTGTGGCTGGAGGCAGGCTGGTCCACATGTCCCTGCACCTGTCTCAGAACAACCCCCAGAGGCAATAACTAGGAAGGGTAACAGCTGCTGGTATCTTCGCATCCTTTGGAAGCCAGAGAACTTGGGAACTAGGTGTCAGTGCTTGTGTGAATTCATCCTGGGCTTTTCAGGCCACGGTGCAACCTCTAGAAGTCCAGCAGCTGTGAAGAGAGGTGTGCTCAAAGTGGCCACACAGGTGCCACTGAGTGTTGGGCTGCCCCCCCACAGCCACACCCAGACCCACATACCAGCTGAGGCAGCACCTTCTCCAGCTGATCCACATTCACAACATCGAGGTCCTCTGCCTGGGCCTGGCAGACCCCGCGGGCAGCAGCTTCTGTGAAACACTCTGAAGTGAGCCTGGAGAAGCTGGGCGGATTCAGCCCTGCCCTTGTCAGCCCTCAGAAGAGGGCTAGGTTTTCAGGGACAGGGCTTAGGGTTGACAGTAACTGAGAAAAACCTATTAGTTTGTCTACTGAAAAGTAAGACAAGGAAATCTCCATTTTTCCCGGCACTTGCGGGGCCACTGGCTCACCTACTACGAAGATCCTCAGGAACTCTGCCATGAGCTGCAGTGCGTCCCCACTGACTGGAGGGAAAGAGCGGGTCATGGGGCAGCCTCCCTGTGCCCCACATTCTTACCCACATCACTCACGTGCCCCAGACCTTTAGTCTTGCAATCCCTGAAGTGAAGATGCAGTAGTCTGCTCACGAGCTCCTGGAGGAAGGGCAGGGAGTCAGTGCCATTCCCAACAGGGCTCCCAGCTTCCAACTAGAAACAGTGCCATCCTAGGGCCTCTTCCCAGGTTGAGGGGAGGATGTCACAGGGGCTGTCGAGAAGGGCTTGAGAGACTTGCCTATAGGGGCAAGGGATGGAGGAAAGTCCAGTAACGTCACTCCCATCCCTGGGAGCAGAGGGACAACACTCCTCTGCAGAGAGAACACTCCGGCAGACCGGGGGGATGGATGCCCTGGCAGCTTTGGCAACCTATCTGTCAGCACTGCCTAGCTTGGATCACTGCTGCACAGACACACACAACATATTAGAGATGGGCTATGGCTGGAGGGGCGGGTGGCTGGATAGATACCCAAGAGCCCCTGAGGTTTCTTTGGCAAGAAGTTGGAAGTCATTTCTAGCTGTAAGTGAAATAGTTCTGGAGAGATCTAGCTGTAATTGATGCAATACTGAGTGGTGGTGATGGTGGCGGCAGGGGATTGGCCAAGCTTCAGGGATGGTTTGAGACCCCAAAAGGTTGGTGGCAATGTTCGAGATGGGGATAAGTGTGAGAATCCAGAGGGGACACACAAAGTGTTCCTGAGAATCTGTGCAGTTTGTGAAGCCATCAGACCACTCAGGGTTACCTAGCACAGGACAGAGTGGGAAATGGCTGGAAAAGGGCAAAAGGTTGGCAGCAATGGGCACCCAGAACCCTAGAAATGGGTGGATTCCCGAGCATCAGTCACACAGAGGCCACGATACCCTTTCGCTGCAGAGGGGCACAGATGGGGGCAATGGACATGAGTCTGAGGCACAGGTGAACTTGTCAGGGGGGACAATTACGTGAGAACAGTGCCCCCTGCTGGCATTTTTCTCCTGCATGCTACCACAGCGGTAGCAACAGCTTCAGCATAGGACTGGACTACAGCCCCACGGGCCGCTCAGCGAACGAGTGGATGTGGGTGCTGGAGGTAGGACTAGGGAAAAGCCGGTGGCACACTCCAGTTCCGCGTCCAGAAGGCCACAGTCAGGGCGGGACACAGGTCCCTCCCTTCCTGTCACTCTCCCACGGCAGCCCGCTCACCGTATCCAATGATTCTGACCACAGCCCCCAAAACTATTCAAGTACTGAACGGAGCGTGGTGGCCAGCCCGGCCTCTGCACAGGGTGCGCACCGTCCTGATAAAAAGAGCCGACCCCCTGACCGCATCACTCAAGGCACGGAAAACCTCCGCTTCGGTTTCCCCCAGAAAACGAGCCAGTCCTGGCAAACCGGCTTTTGTCACTGAGAAACGACGCCGGCCCCAACAGTGGAGGCTCGCGTCGGTGTGCCCCACGCACCGCACCGGCCGGGCTTGGAAAGGCCCCCCTTGTCACCAGCCTGGATCAATCATCTGCAGACCCGCTCCGTGCAGAGCGCGCGGGCTGCCCTGCCCAGGTCCATACGGCTGCCGGACCGCCACCAAAGACACGGGACACAGCGACAAGGCCGACTTCCAGCCTGCACAAGTGTCACGCGGGGAACCCACAGTGCCCAGAGCTAACCTCGCACCACTCCCGAGGACCTCACCTTCCGGAAGCCGCTGGTTTCCTCCATGGCCACAGTTTCAACGCGCGCTCTCCGGAACTCTCCCACGTCCCAACCTATGAACGGGGAGCGCGTCCGTGAAGTCCCGCCTCTAAGCTCAGCAGCCAATCACTTAAGCGTTCCCCTCTCTCCTTGAGTTCCCAACCAATGAGTCGGCCCGCACTTCGCTCTCATTGGTCTACCGATAGCCCCTCTTCCGCAATGCCTCATGGGAGTTGTAGTTCCTATCTTTCTTACCGCAGCTCCACGCTCTTCCTGGATACTGAGGCGCGAGGGACCGCGTTCAGAGCACAGCACCAGCGACCCGAGGCCACGTCGCGAGGGCGGGCTAGGGGCCGCAGGGCCAGACCAGGGTACGTGCAACGCGCCTACCTCTCTCCTAGGCCAGTGCTCTGCGCTCCGGCTCTCCCTATCTCTGAAACCCCTCTTCGAGCGGTTTCGACCTCCTTTCTATTCCACATTCCTAGGCCTCCCTTTTATAGGGCCAGTTCAGCTCAACGCCCCCGTGTACACTCTCTAGGGAAAGGGGCTCTCAGCCATCGGTCTAGCAAGCTTACGTGCAGCCTGTTTCTAGGGGCATGCTTGCAAGGCCCTGCCAGCATTCGGGGACATGGAGGAGTTGCGGCGCTCCTACAGCCGCCTGTGCAAGGAAAGTGGGGCCGAACCCCAGGAGGCTGTCCTGCAGCAGCTACACCAGCTTCCGCGGGGCCGACTGGACCTGGCAACTCAGAGCCTGACGGTGGACACCTGCAGGGCCCTTGGCAAGCTGCTGCATGATGAGAAGCTGTTGAAGGAGCTTGTCCTCAGCGACTGCATGCTGAGTGAGGAAGGTGAGGCCGGTGGCCTCGGAACAACACCTGAAGCTTCCGAGTGAGGGTTCAAGCCCTTTGCCTCCAGGCTGGCCTAAGGGCGGGTGTCCTGATTGTGTTTGCCCCGGGGACCCGTAAGCAGGAAAGTCAATGCGTTCCCTATCCCCCTCCCCCCTTTTTTTCTCCCCAGTTCCTTTGTTTTCTCCTCTGTTTGTGCACTTTAGCTTTCTTTTTCCAAAACCTGGGAGTAGAGGTCAGTGTCACTGAAATAGAGAAACATTAATGTCTCCAGCCTTCACAGTCCCCTATGCTGGCTCCAGAAAGGTCAGGCCTGGCAAGCTCTTGTTGTTTTCTGGTTTTTCGAGATAGGGTTTCTCTGTGGCTTTGGAGGCTGTCCTGGAACTAGCTTTTGTAGACCAGGCTGGCCTCGAACTCACAGAGATCCACCTGCCTCTGCCTCCCTAGTGCTGGGATTAAAGGCGTGCGCCACCAACGCTCGGCAGGTCTGGCTAGCTCTAACCTTACAACAAATGGGGGAAACTCATTCCTACTGCGAACCCAAAACAGTGGTACCACTAGGACAGATGTGCCCCCTCTTCTGTTTCTGGGTAGCAGCCCTCTCCTCCAACTGCCTTTACACAGGGTCCACACTGCTGTTCCAAGGGCTGTGTGCCAACACCACTGTGCAACATCTGGATCTAAAGGTGAGCAGGCCGGCACCCTGGGCAGTGGAAAGTGACAGGGACCCCTGGGGTCTTGACAGTTGCTAGAGACCATCTGTAAGAGTTCCCAATGCCAGCCGGGCGGTGGTGGCACACGCCTTTAGTCCCAGCGCTCGGGAGGCAGAGGCAGGCGGATCTCTGTGAGTTCAAGGCCAGCCTGGTCTACAAATCGAGTTCCAGGACAGCTTCCAAAACAACACAGAGAAACCCTGTCTCGAAAAACCAAAAAAAAAAAGAGTTCCCAATGCCGAAGGTCTTTAGGACTGCTCTCTGAGGATCCCCGTGGGTGTTGGGAGTGTTTTAAAGGCAGAGTGATGTCCTCAGCATGCCCCACATGCCCTGATCTCAACAGTGTTCACATAAACTCCAAAGGGACCGAGTGCCATAATGCTGGCAGCCACGCCTTTGCCGGGAGCTGCCTCATAGCCTTTTGCGCTGCCTGGGTCTGTGAGGACACAGACGTGGTATCCGGAACCAGGGTAACCAGAGTGACTGACTGGCCAGGGTGTTCCTTTTTCTAGGGCAACAACCTCCGAGCTACAGGAGCCGAGGCTCTGGGAAAGCTCCTTCGCCAGAGCAAATCCATTCAGAGGTAGGACTACACCCAGGCCTCACCTGTACCTCACGCCTGCCTCTCCATGTATGCGGCTTGGGGTTGGCCCCAGAGGGTAACAATCCTGCAACCAGCTCACTGTCCCCCGCTGTACCCATGTTCTTGCTTTAAACCCGCTGGTTAACTCTGGCCTTCTACTCGCTCTGGACCCCGAGGGTCAGACATTCTGTTGAGCCAGGAACCTGTGTCCATCCTCCCTGTAGTCTTACCCTAGAGTGGAACAACGTGGGCATGTGGGAAGACGCCTTTGCCTCCTTCTGTGGGGGCCTAGCAGCCAATAGCACCCTGCGGCAGCTGGACCTCAGAAACAACCAAATAAGTCATAAGGGAGCCGAGGAACTGGCCCTGGCCCTGAAGGGCAACACCACCCTCCAGCACCTGGGTGAGGCCTCCTGAATTCTGCCATAACCACCCCCACCCCATGTGACCCGGGTACGTTGGGCTGTATTAAATTGCACCCTCTCCCTCGCTGCTGGAGAGGTTGACTTGGGCTCCTGGCTGTATTGGCGGCCACAGGCAGTAAAGTACGAGGGGAGGTATCCTGGGCTGGGCCAGTACCTCCCTCCCATCCAACTGAGTGACAGTAGGTTTCCTTCCAGACCTGCGCTGGAATAACATTGGCCTCCTGGGGGGCCGGGCCCTGGTGAACTGTCTCCCCAGCAACAGAACCCTGCAGAGGTTGGACCTGGCTGGGAACAACATCCCTGGGGACATCCTGAGAGCTGTGGGTATGAGCGCTCAGGGCTGCTAGCTTCTTACAAGTTGGGGTAAGCCCTTTAACAAAAGCCCATCCACCACAGAAGGGTGAGGCTCGGGGCTCAAGAGGTGGAGGCCCAGGAAATGAGTAGCTGGCTAGCCTAGGTCAAGGGGTGAAAGCAACTGGTGCTTGTACCAGGCATCTCTCGTATGTTCACACATCTTAGCACCCATGTAGTCAGGGTGCTGGTTTCACAGGCTAGAAGCTAAAGCCTTGCGGCTTAAAGCCTTTGCTCTGACGGCCATTGGTGGCCTGAGCCACAGCCAGGGAGGCTTCTTCTTCTTCTTTTTTTTTATTATTATGTATACAGTGCCAGAAGAGGGCACCAGAGATCATTATAGATGGTTGTGAGCCACCATGTGGTTGCTGGGAATTGAACTCAGGACCTCTGGAAGAGCAGTCAGTGCTCTTAACCTCTGAGCCATCTCTCCAGCCCCCGAGGGAGGCTTCTTGGTATCTTCCCCCAGCTACCCGAGTTTGTGTCTGTGCTGTGTGTAGATGGATGTGCGTGTGTGTGTGCCTGCGTGGGGGGTGCCAGGCTGGCGCTGACTGATGTCAGAACCCACTTCCATCTGCCTATGAACCCTGAGTCCTTATAAATGATAACTTGGCCTCCGGCTCAGTAGTTTGTCACCTGGTATCACCCACCAAGATCTGAGCTTTCAGGACTGGAGTCCTGGATCCCAGACTTTGCCTTACTCCCTGCTGCGGAGGAGTCGTCACCTGCTGCTGGCTGTACCTGACTCTTTGGTCATCTCCAGTGTCTTTTTGTTCCCAGCCCTGTATCTGTGTGGGTGTAATCCTTATAATTGTTTTGTTTGATCTTCTTGTGTGTGTGAAAGACGGTCTTGCTATGTAGCCCAGGGCTGGCTTTGACCTCATTTATTTGTATCTTATGTGCATTGATGCTTTGCTTGCATGTATGTCTGTGTGAGGGAGTCAGATCCCCTGGAACTGGAGTTACAGACAGCTGTGAGCTGCCATGTGGGTGCTTGGAATTGAACCTGGGCCCTCTGGAAGAGCAGTCAGTGCTTTTAACCGCTGAGCCATTTCTCCAACCAACCCCTGGCTTTGACCTCATAACCCACCTGCCTCAGGTGCCTCAGTTCAGGGATCATTGGCATGCAGTGCCACATCTGGCTTATAATACTGTTAGTCTTTCGAGAAGATAGCACCCATCTCTTAAAGTCATATACCCCTTGACCTTTGTTGGGGAAGCCAGATGTCCCAGGAAGTGCCAACTTTGAGGGTAGTAGAGCAGCTTCTCCGTATGTACAAAAGACCTCCTGTGTCAAGGTTCCTGCGTCACCCAGTCCTGTCCTCCACTGAAATGGTTTGCCCAGGTGCACTGGATGGGGATGCCTGATTTGTTGTGGAGATGCTGCCTTCCGTAGGGTGGGCTCCCAGATGACCAACTTCCGACACAGGCAGCACAGGGCTGGGTTAGCCATTGCCCGTAACGTCAAGCCCAGTGGATCACATGGCCTTTTCTGACAGAACAAGCCATGGACCACAACCAGGACCGGCTCACTGCGTTTCGGGAGAACCAAGCCCGCACCAACATCCTTAGCAAGGAGGTTCACCACCTCCAGGAAGAGAAGTCCAAGCAGGTGAACATAGTGCCCTCGGTAGCCCAGCTTAGCTGCCTTCTTCCTTGCCCTCCCTATCCTCCTTCCCTCCAGGCCTCTGAGCCAAGGCAACCCAGGGCTTAGGTGGCCTCCTGTCCCCAGTTTCCTCTGAGAGCAAACAGGGAGTCCTAGCCTCCAGGCCTCTGCAGCCTGACTCTGTTGATGGGAGTCGGTACTGTCCGCTTCTAAGGGTGCTTTGACTGACTTTATCTCCAGTTTCTGGATTTGATGGAGACCATTGATAAGCAACGGGAAGAGATGGCCAGAAACGGCAGGTGAGTGAGCCCTGGGGGTTGCAGGAAGTAGGACCATAACTGGGGTGCCTGCTCCTCAGTGCCTGGCTTCTGATTTGAGTTATCATCCAACCTGAGCCCTGTCTGTTACAACAAGGCCATTGCTTCCGAGCAGGTGGGCTGGCAGTTAGTGGCAGATGTGCAGCGCTTTTAGCTATGTGCCTGGCGGATTGAGGACGTTACAGACACAAATGTGCAGAGACCAGCGGCTGCTGCCAAGGCTGGGGAGAAGGCAGCGGCCTCCAGGGTTTGGATTTCCCAGAACCACCTCTCTGTCCTTAGGGCATCAGCAGCACGAGTTGGGCAGCTCCAGGAAGCCCTCAACGAGAGACAGTCCATCATCAATGCCCTCAAAGCCAAGTAAGGCAGATGAGAGGAGCCTTCAAACACCTTAGAGACTTAGCAGCCGGTGCCCACGAGGCAGAGGAGGGGACAAGCGCTTCCTGGGGTTTGAGGAGAGGCTTGGGCGGAGTGAGGACAGATGTTTGCCAAGCAGGTGACATTCTTGATGGAGCTGAACTAGGGCCGGCCTTCCTCTTTGTAGGCTGCAGATGACAGAGGCTGCTCTGGCTCTGTCAGAGCAGAAGGCCCAGGACCTGGGGGAACTGCTGACCACAGCGGAACAGGAACGGCAGAGCCTGTCACAGAGGCAGGAGAAGGAGCGCAAGCTGGAGCAGCAGGTAGGAGCTGGGCTGTGTGGACTATTACCTGCATGGCAGCAGCCCGACCAGAAGCGTCTGTCACGTTGCCCTTCTCACTCAGGAAGCTGCAGATCGGGAATCTAAGCTCCTCAGGGATCTGTCCGCCTCCAATGAGAAGAACCTGCTGCTTAGAAGCCAGGTATGAGGGGTGTGGGTTCGAAGGGGTGTGGCCACGGGGCTAGAGTCAGCCACCCAAAGAGCCCAGGGTAGTAGTATAGCAGGGCTGGGTGAAGCCTCCTCTGGTGTTGACTGCATCCCAGGTGGAGGAGTTGGAGCGGAAGGTAAAGTCTCAGCAGGAGCAGCTGTTTCTGACCAGGCAGGAGCTGACTAACACGTCCGCCGAGTTGAAGATCCGTGCTATTCAGGCTGAGGGTAGGCATGGACGGGCTTGGCACTAAGGGCACACGGAGCTCCAGGGACAAAGCAACGCCCCCCCCCCCTTCTCCCCAGAGAAGCCTCACCGCGTTCTTCCCCACTGGGCCTCCAGAGCGCTTGGATGTGGAGAAGAGGAGAGCCAAACAGAATATGGAAGACTTGGAAAAGCTGCACTCCAAGGAGGTGCTGTCTTATGGATACCCCTGTCCCCACTTGGGGCCTGCAGACCAGCCCTGTGTGGTTCGCTATGCCTAGTGCGCGCCCTTGAGTTGATAGTGCCAGAGTCGCAGGCAACAGTATCCATGGTTCAGGCAGCTAATGGACTTCCTTGCTGTGTGTTCTCCTGATCGGAGCCTCTGTCTTTGGCGCCCACCAGGACACTCAAGTCAGGCCTTTGCCAGTTGATAACCTGCTTTCCAGGGTAGGGATTCCATGGGGGCAAGGGCTAGGGGAGCCCGTGTTTGCTGGCCCTGACCCCACCCCCACCCCCACCCCTTCCTTTTGGACAGGTGGATCACATGACCCGTCACCTAGAGGAGAGTGAGAGGGCCATGCAGGAGAGGGTGCAGAGACTAGAGGCTCTGCGGCTGTCCTTGGAAGAGGTGAGACTACACGGGCCCTGGGTAGACTGCAGGTGACATTTATGGCCTCAGGACCCCCGAGTTTCAGCCTCGTTAGGTCTCACTACGGGGACCCCACCCATCCCTGAAAGGTTAGAGACTAGAAATGACATTTAGGCCTCCTTGGCAGTAAAAAAAAAAAATCCCTGTGTGGTTCCAAGGATATTTATGGAAAAGTTTTCCCAGCCTGGCTGCTCAGCGGCGTGGAAGGGGCCCTGGGTCAAGGGGGCGGTGCGTTCGCAAGATGGGCTGGTGGTAGCCATCTGCCACGCAGGAGCTGGGCCGCGTGAAGGCGGCACTGCACAGTGAGCGCGGCCAAGCTGAGGAGGAGCTCATCAAAGCCAGGAACCAGGCCCGCCTGGAGGAGGTGAGCTTTGGCCACAAGTATGTAGGGCTCAATTGTTGCACCTTGCAAGGGAGTCTGGTTGAAGGAGTGGGAGAGGACCAGGGCCGTGGGCCTCAGGACTGGAGCTCAGAGATCTCAGGAGCCAGCAGGGCTGTGGTTGCTTCCTGTACTGCTTGGGCACGGGGAAGGCTAGAGATGATAGAGTTGGCTTGAGATGCAGGAGGAGAGCCCAGTGAGAGAGATAACTCGTGTGACACCATGAAGCCAGGCCCTTGCAGAGGGGTGGAGGTTAGCCCACTTGCAGACTGTCTCGTCCCTCCGGTTTTGAGCTCAGACTGTGCAGCAGCCCATCCCCCCCCCCCCCGCCCACAGCAACACCGCCTTGCTCATCTGGAGGAGAAGATTCGGCTGTTGGCACAGGCAAGGGATGAGGCTCAGGGTACTTGCCTGCAGCAGAAGCAGGTGGTGGCTGAGTCCCAGGCCCGGGCCAGCCAGCTGAACCTGCAAATAGAGGGCCAGCAGAGGCGTCTGGAAGAACTGCAGCAGGTTAGGTGGCGCGGCGGGCATCGGGGAGCACAGGCTCTAGGGGTTCATTTCCAGGCTGTGGGTCTCACCCTTCCCCAACCCCCCCATCCCAGGAGCTGAGCAACAAGGACCAAGAAAAAGTGGCTGAGGTGACCAGGGTGAGGGTTGAGCTGCAGGAACAGATGGGCCGTATGCAGGCCGACCTGGTGGCCCAGGAGCTGCTGAGGGAGAAGGTGGCAGCCTTGGAGCGGCAGCTGAAAGGTTACCACCATATCACCTGGACAGCGGAGCTGGGCGGGGGCGGGGGCGAGGTTCTCCCCTAGAGATGCGTCCCATCCTTCCCACACCCCTAGGCAGGGTTTCTCTGTATAACCCTGGCTGTTCTGGAACTCGCTCTTTGGACCATGCTGGCCTTCAAACTCAAGAGATCCACCTGCCTCTCTGTCTCCCAAGTGCTGGGATGGGAAGGCCTTGGGACACACGGAAAGGCACCTATTCCCTCCTTATTGAGCCTCTCCCTTGCAGTGATCGGGAGTGAACACCGGGAGGCGCTGCTGGACAGAGAGAGTGAGAACGCGTCTCTCCGAGAAAAGCTAAGGCTCAAAGAGGCAGAGATCTCACGCATCCGGGATGAAGAGGCCCAGAGGGCAAGCTTCCTGCAAAATGCTGTCCTGGCTTACGTTCAGGGGTCTCCTCTGAGAGCCTTGAGTCCCCCTAAATGAAGGGGGGAAGGGAGGCCGGGAGCTCCCTGCGAGTGCAGAAATGCCATATATATCATTCTCAAAGGAAGGCTTGGGGTTCAGAAGCGTCAGCTGCAGTGTCAGGGTGGGGTTCTGCCAACGTTGGTGCTCACCGGCACCCCTGCCCATCCAAGGTAGCTCACCCGGAGGTCACCACGGTATAGTCGAGACGAAGTGCGCAGAAATGCGCTCAGAAGACCCAATCCTAGAACAACTGCTGTAGGAGGGAACAGATGCCCCAATGGCAGGGTGGAAATACAGGACTTTTTATACTTGGTGATACATTCTTGTCCAGTTCCTTTCTGCCGCACCCGCTGCCCCAGCCGCGTGAATGAACCTCCGGGGTGGTACTGGGTTGTCCCGATTGCTACCAGGCACACGAGGGTTTCCTCAGCTGCAGGGTGGGCTGGAGTCCCTGGGAAGCATTGGGCTCGTCCGCCCGGCGCATCCATTTCGGTGGCATCACCAACCCGAGCTGCGTGGCACCACATCCTCGTTCCTGGGTGTGGACCCTCAGTCTCAGCCTTCCTTCGGGGTTCAAGGACTGGCTAGGGCTCCGCCCCCCACCGCAGCTCGCCCCTTGCCCCGCCCCGCCTGCGCACACTCGGCTGTCTTCGCACCCGGCATTCGGCGGCGCTCGGCTGTCTCCGGCCGCTCGCTCGGCGTTCGGGTCCGCGGCCGCTGCGGCGCCGGGCATTTCTCCGCAGCTCGGCTCGCGGCCGCGCCCGCCGCCGCCCGGCCCCGCGCCCATGCAGGCCATCAAGTGTGTGGTGGTCGGCGATGGGTGAGTGCGCTGTCCCGAGCCGCAGGGGCGGAGGGGCTAGTAGGAGGCTACTACGGGGTGAGGTGAGGCGGGGCGGGGCAGACAGGCGCGGGGTCCTGGTGAGGCGGCTCCGCCGCGCCCCCACCATAGCCTGGCCGCGTGCGTCCAGGGGCCGATGGGGTGGGGTCAAGCTCAAGCTGTCCACCTTCCTCTAGCCCGGGCACACCTGATGCTGCCCGGCCTCCGCCCCGGGTGCTCGCAGTGGGTGGGGCCCGGCCTCACCTGCGCTGATTCCTGGGTGGCTCCACCCTCGCGCCAGCCACCCAAGGTGCTGGGAGCTCTGACGCCCCCTGTGCGTTGCGGCGTGCCCTATCCAGGATTGTGAGCCCTTGCAACCGCGCCCACCACTGTGCTTCCCTCTAGCCGGCTTTGGTCAGTTTCTTTCAGCCCCAGGTGGCTGCAGATCTGCTGGGCCCTGCACGACCTACCCACCCCACCCGAGCCACCCAAACTAAACCCCCTGCTCTGCGGGAGCTGGCTGCCCTTGCGGGGAGGAAAGGGGCGGAGGCTCGGCCCTGGAGCCACGTGGGCTGAACCTCTTTCCACAGTGCCGTGGGGAAGACGTGCTTGCTGATCAGCTACACGACCAACGCCTTCCCGGGAGAGTATATCCCCACAGTGTGAGTGCACGGGAGTGGGAGGTAGCTGGAGCTGGCCACTAGAGGCCGGTCACACGTGGAGGATGGGACCTCCTTTAGTCCCTTAAGGTCTTGTTCGAGTGACCCTGGTTCTGGGTTTCCATGGTGAGGCCGAGGCGCTGGCCAGAGTTTGGGATGTGTGGGCTTCAGAACTGAAGCCTGCTGACTGGGCTCCAGTGGCCCAGTATCCCTGCCCAGCCTAGTCCTTCCACTTTTGCAGTTTCGACAACTACTCAGCCAACGTGATGGTGGATGGGAAGCCCGTCAACCTGGGGCTGTGGGACACGGCTGGCCAGGAAGACTACGATAGGCTTCGGCCCCTCTCCTATCCTCAAACCGTAGGTGGCAAGAGGGCCGGCTCTAGGAGTTGGGTGGTTCCTGAATGGGGAGGAGACACAGACTGCTCTGGACACCCTTTGGTCAGTTCTGTCTGTCCCTCCCTCTGAAGGATGTCTTTCTGATCTGCTTCTCCCTGGTGAGCCCGGCCTCCTTTGAGAACGTCCGTGCCAAGGTAGGGTGGGCCTAGGGTTCCTAGCGGAAGGCACGCCCCCCCCCAGTGAGCAGAGGGGTCTCTGCCAGTGACCTTTTCTGCTGAGGGGAGGCACTGAAGCTGTCAGGGTGTCAGGGGGGACAGCTCACAACTGGCTGTCTGAGGCCTCCCTCCCTCCCTGGATGGGTGTCTTTGTTCACTGCCAAACCCAACAAACTGCTAGCCACTCTGTGAAGCAGGGAGAGCCGCATGTGTCAGAGAGAAAAGCCTCAGGGATCCGGGGCCCGCTTTGGGCAGATCGGGGGCCCTGTCCCCCCAGGCATAAGGGTCTCTGAAGCCTGTGGGGTCAGAACCTCTGTCCCCACAGTGGTACCCGGAGGTGCGACACCACTGCCCCCACACACCCATCCTTCTGGTGGGCACCAAGCTGGACCTCCGTGATGACAAGGATACCATCGAACGGCTGCGGGACAAGAAGCTGGCACCCATCACCTATCCGCAGGGTCTGGCCATGGCCCGCGAGATCGGTAAGCGTGGGGCACAGGTTGTGTTTTGAGGGACTTGCCCTGCCTGCGCATCTACAGTCAGTCACCGCCTCTGCTGTCCCTTCCCTCAACAATGCCAGGTTCTGTCAAGTACCTGGAGTGCTCAGCTCTGACCCAGAGAGGTCTGAAGACAGTGTTTGATGAGGCCATCAGGGCAGTGCTCTGCCCGCCTCCCGTGAAAAAGCCAGGCAAGAAGTGCACTGTCTTCTAGAGCCCCGCCTGGCCAGCCTGGCTGAAGAACCTGGCTCAAGCGTGCCCTCGTGTTGAGCTGTCCCTAAGTGGTGAGGGTGGGGAGGGAAAGCATGGGGACCAGGCTGGGGTGATGGGGTCCTGTCCCCTAAGCCTCCTTTTTCTGGGATATAGCTCCAGCCTTCCCTGGTCCCCATGGGAGGCCAGGAGGGAGCAGGGTCTCCCTCAGGGCTGCAGGGGTGGGTCCAGAGAAACCCCAGGATGGGCTTCCCTGGAGGGAAGGGTGGGGGGTGGGTTTTGTTCATCATGTCCCAGGAAAGGGCGGCCCCTTCTTATTTTATACAATAAACATTCTCCACCTCTTCCGCCTGTCTCACCGTCTGTCCTGCTTTCCACCCTGGTACTTGCTCTAGCTGTCCCCTAAGGGGGGGGGGTGGGAGGGGAGGCAGAAGAGTCTGGCATTCCTAGCCGCCGGCGCTGTATTTCCAAAGGAAACTCTGAGCTTAGCACACCCTAGGTAAGCGGAGGCAGGCACACTCAGCCGTATACAGGGTGACCTCTGTGTGCAAACCTGGGGCCCGCTGGGGGACCTTAGGGACGTGCTCCAGCAGCTCTCACTGAGCTGAGGGGGAGCAGTCTTGTAAAGAGGGTGAAGCCTGGACTCTGGAAGCCTCGTTGACTCCTCTCTGGCTGGCATGAGATGCCAACTGGTTGCCAAAGTGGAGGGAGGCAGCCCAGGAGGGGTCCAAAGCTATGGTCCAGAACTCAGGCTTCCTCCCAGAAGCTGAAGGCATTTCCCTGGAGCAGACACGGAGACCAGAGGATGCCCTGCAGGGACACATTCTCCTCCCAGTGATGCATACAAGTGGCTCATGCTGACTCAGAGAGCAGCTGGTTGTTACTTTTTTTTTTTTTTTTTTTTTTGGTTTTTCGAGACAGGGTTTCTCTGTGGCTTTGGAGGCTGTCCTGGAACTCACTTTGTAGACCAGGCTGGCCTCGAACTCACAGAGATCCGCCTGCCTCTGCCTCCCGAGTGCTGGGATTAAAGGCGTGCGCCACCAACGCCCGGCTGGTTGTTACTTTTTTTTTTCAGGAAGTTTGCCAACCAGTTGTTAAACAGCTCTATGAATAATAATTAAGTCACATAAACTTAACAATTAGTTGTGCTGGGCACAAAAATCGGCAAACTCACCATTTCCTAATCACTCAATGTATGTTGCTGTCTTCATGTTATTGTATGTCATGGGGTGCTACTGTGGACCTCCTTGCCTCCGTGTCCCCCCAGATCCACACTTGAGCAAATGTTCTCAAGTGTGTAGCTTGAAGTCAGCTCTAATGTAAGTTCCACACCAGGGAATGTGGCAAACAGCGCAGACTAGGGCTCGATTAAACAGTGGCCCAGGCCTTTGGAAGCGAGACACTGCAAATTAAATACACCAGGACTCTCTCATTATGTTGTACGTAACACAAAAAGTTGTGGGAATGTTCAAGATTTAGAAACAGTGAAAGAAGTTGCTCAGCTCATTGGCAGATTAGTTAATGTCTGCCGTCTCTCTCGGTGTGCGTGCTTACTCAGTGACTGGTAACAGATCAGAATCGCTGGGCAGTGGTGGCGTACGCCTTTAACCCCAGCACTCGGGAGGCAGAGGCAGGCGGATCTCTGTGAGTTCGAGGCCGGGCTGGACCGACAGCCTCCAAAACAATACAGAGAAACCCTGTCTCGTAAAAACCAAAAACAAAAAACACAAAAAAACACAAAACATATCAGAATCACAGAGCTGCTTGCTCAGTGCTCACCAACAGTTCACAGCCCCACTCCAGAAACCTCTGAACAGGCTGTCTTTAGGCAAACTGACCAAACTCTTGAGGATCCAGCCTTCTGGAAGGAAGGGTTAGGGTTAAGCTGGCTAGGCCTGAAAGTCTTGTGTGGGAACCAGACTACACCTGCTTTGGATCGCAGATGGCTCGAAGAAGATCTCTGCATATCTGAAGAGTCAGCACATAGGCTGGACAGATGTTTATTGGAGGGACTGGGGGGGTGGGGTGGATGCGCAATGTTCTGAGCCTATGGCTGGGCAGAGTTAACGGAGGGGGGCTCAGGTAACCAGGAAGCCCCCATCCACGGGCAAAGTGGAGCCAGTGGTCATGTTACTTCGGTGGCTCAGCAGGAAGAGGATGGCGTCCACCACGTTCTCCACCTCTGGGGGCAGGTGGAGGCCAAGAGCAAAGATGAAGGAGACTTCCCTTGTCCTTCCAGCCCCAACCAACCTCCCCTGGCCCCCAGGCGCAGACAAGCACAAGGGCTGCTGGTACCAGTTCCAGTCTGGACTCCTGCCTAACTTACCAGCAAACTTGCCAAGTGGGATTCGATCCAGCATAACCTTGGCCTTGTGGGGGTCACTCCAGTTGGTCCGGCCCATAGACGTCATCACTACTGTGGGGTTTACTGCATTCACGCGGATCTGCAAGGAGGCCATCGAGGTGAACAATGTGGGAGGGTGCCTGGGCATTAGGACTGAGTGGAGGCGTTGTTTCGTCCGGCCCAACACACCTTGTGGGGCCCCAGCTCAAGGGCCATCATCTTGGTCAGCATGTCCAGAGCACCCTTGGTGGAACCTGTAAGGAAGGTTGTTGTAAGAGGCCAAGAGCTGCCAGGCATTGGTGGTGCATGCCTTTAATCCCAGCACTCGGGAGGCAGAGGCAGGCGGATCTCTGTGAGTTCGAGGCCAGCCTGGTCTACAAAGTGAGCTCCAGGCCAGCCTCCAAAGCCACAGAGAAACCCTGTCTCGAAAAACCAAAAAAAAAAAAAAAAAAAGAGGCCAAGAGCTGGTCCAGGAGTGGGAGTGGGGATGGGGGGATGGGGAGGTGGGGGGGGGGGATCAGGCACAGCTGGAATTACTCACAGTAGACGCTGTGGTTGGCCAGTGCACGCTGGGAGGCCTGGCTGGAGACGTTCACGATGGCCCCCGGAGCTCCCCGAGCTATCATGCCCCTGGCCACAATCTGAAATGTGTGTTTTGAGGGATTAGAAGCAGAACTAGCAACCCCTCTTCAGAGTTTCCTTCTCCCGGCCACGTAGGTTAGCTCACCTGAGACACCTGGATGACAGCCCGAAGATTCACATTGAAGGACCTAGCGATGAAAGGGAAGCCTGGTCAGGGGCAGGCCTGGGGCTGCCTGGGCACGGGGTTGGCTCCTACCACCCCAGGGGTGGCTTACATGTCAAAGGCCTCCTTGGTGACCTCCAGGAAGGGCTGCAACAGGGCCACGGCGGCATTGTTTACCAGCAGGTCCACCGGTCCCACACTGCTTAGGGCCTGCTCTGTGGCCTCCCAGTCGGCCAGGTCCACACACACAGTCTCCACGCCAGGACACTGTGTGTTGGGGCAAAACAAAGCGATTAGCAACTGTGTCCCAAGAAGGTGGTGCTGCTGGCCTTTTCTTCCGGAGGGAAAGGTAGTTAGTCTGGGAGAGTTGGACCTGGAAGAGGACTTTCAACTGGAAAGGGTCAGGGGTTCCTGCAAATTGTGAGGCGGAACCTACAGCCCAGAAACACAGCCCCGCCTCCAGGCATCCTCACTTCCTTTCCGCTCAGCGTTCTTGGATCTAGGGCTGCTCTCTCAGCGGACATTTCAGTTTCTTCCAAACTCGGGGAGCCAGGATGTCTTGATGGACCCCCGACCGTTTGCACAGGCCTCGGACCTAGGAGGGAGCGCACCACCCCCAACGCCCGGCGCCAGACTCAGGGCGGGCCTGCCGTGAGAAGCACGCGGTGGGTGAGGGGCGTCCAGGGAGTGCAGCGTCTCACTCACAGACACAGCGCCTACCTCGCTAACCAGGCTGTCAAGGTCCGCTTGTGTCCGGCTCACGGCCACAACATGTGCACCAGCCGCCTGCAGCGCCAGCACAGTGCTGCGCCCGATGCCTGAGGCGAGCGAGGATTAGTGCGGGTCCCCCCCCGCCCCCCACATACACACACTTCAAACCAGATCGACCCTGGACCCCGCCAGTGCCCCTCTCTTGTCGCCTGACCTTTGCCTGCTCCGGTGACCAGCGCCCGCCGACCTGCAAGCCCCAGGTCCATGGTGGCCCAGCCAGATACTGCCGGGGCAAGATGGACTTGGAGTTCTGGAACCGAGGGCGGGGCGAGGAGAGCCAATCGCGTGGGCTGCGTCTTGGAAAAGGGCGAGGATATTAAAATAATAGCTCCTTCTGTCGTGTTGATTGGCTGAACTGCGGTGGGCGTGACCGGGGCAAGGCTGTGTTAACCAAGGGACACAGCTTCTCGAATTGCACCAGGCTGATCCAACTTCGGAGTGAGGAATCCGCTTAGTGAGCCCTGGTCAACGTGGTTTTCACTGCCCAGAAAATTTTCACGAGAAACAAATACACCAGTTTTGCCAGGCGCATCACGGACGTTGGTGAACCTGAGAGACATGTCCAAAAATGTCTTGTGGCCGGGCGTTGGCGACGCACCGCCTTTAATCCCAGCACTTGGGAGGCAGAGGCAGGCGGATCTCTGTGAGTTCGAGGTCAGCCTGGTCTACAGAGCAAGTTCCAGGACAGCCTCCAAAACAATATAGAGAAAACCTGTCTCGAAAAAAACCAAACCAAACCAAAACAACAACAAAAAAAGTCTTATGTGCTCTTTTCCCAGGAGGCCTGGGAATGGGTCTAGATAGCGAATGTGTAACACTCCGAAGAAGACACTGTTACCAATAAGAGCCCCAGGTAGTATCAGAGGGATTTGAAGCCCAAGGTCACCTCACTCAGCCTGCATCGGGTCACCAGCCCCTCACAGAAAGTGGGCAGGAAAACAAGAGCCCGGGTTCAACCAGTTTCGGGATGTCCATGAGAACGAGCCAGACAAACATTGCTTTCCTGTCAGTTACAGATTAACGAATGTCCAGGAGTACACCGCGCCTCCCTGTAAAAACATTTTGTTGTTAGGGTCGTGGTAAGGAACACTAAGGCTGGCCAGTATCAGGGATCTTTGTCACTTGGGCTTCCAGCCCAAAGAGGTGCATGCGTGGGCTGACTCGGTTTTGATAATCCGATGCAGGTGGCTCAGCGGTTAACACCACGGGATGCTCTTTCTTCCCCCAGAAGACTCCAGGTTGATTCCCAGGACCCACATGGCCGTTTTAGAGAAACCAGTGCCCTCTTCTGGCCTCTGTAGTCATGCACACGGTGCACAGACATACCTGCAGGCAAAATCCACACACGCAAAATAATGGTAATTTTTCTTTTAATTTAAAGGAGAGAAAAGCAGCCGGAGGCCAGATAGCCAAGTGCCTCCCCGCCCCTGTTTTTGACCTGATTGCCACCGCTGTAAGTCCGTTTTGTGAACTCTGCTGTCTGCCTGCCAGAAACCGAGAGGGAGACAGCACTCAGCCTACCCAACACCTAGATACGGCTGCTTAAAGCTCATCAGCAGCTTCAGTATCCAGGACGTGCAAAGGTCTCATTCGTTGCTCTGTGGTTCTGGGCGCTCACGGGCTCAGGCCTTGCTCTCTGGAGAGAGGGACTCTCAGAAAACTGTGCCCTGTGCTCTTTTTTTTTTTTTTTTTTTTTTTTTTTGGTTTTTACGAGACAGGGTTTCTCTGTATTGTTTCGGAGGCTATCGGCCCAGCCCAGCCTCGAACTCACAGAGATCCGCCTGCCTCTGCCTCCCGAGTGCTGGGATTAAAGGCGTGCGCCCCTGTGCTCTTTAGAAGGTCTATCTTGAGCCCACCCTCCTCTGCTCTGCCACCTGACCCAAGCTGGACCCTGTGTCAGTTCAAACGGCTGGTCACTTCAAGCCCAACAACCTACCAGATGCCATGGGCTGCAGTGGCCTCTTACCTTGCCAATGAACTTGTAGCAATGACTACACCCTCTGGGGGTGGTTTCATGTGCAGGCGTGACCCATTCATTGATAAGGTAGAGGCGGTGGGCTCTCCAGCAATGGCTTGGGAAGAGCATTGGGAGAGCAGAGACTGCATCTTCTGGAGCAGGAAGATATCAGCAGTTATTTACTCTTATCTGTGTAAATCCTCCCCTAATAAATAGCTATTATCATTTATCTTGGGTCTGGTGAACTCACTAAAACCCCACCTTCAATTGGCTCCCAATGTGGGGCTCGAACGCACAACCCTGAGATTAAGAGTCTCATGCTTGGGGCTGGAGAGATAGCTGTGGTTAAGAGCAGTGACTGCTCTTCCAGAGGACCCTGGTTCAATTCCCAGAATCCACATGGTAGCTCACACCTGTCTGTATCTCCAGTTCAGTGGATTTGGTATCCTTATACCAATGCACATAAAATTAAGTTAAAGTATTTTGTTTGCTTTTGTTTTTGTTTTTTTTCGAGACAGGGTTTCTCTGTGTGACTTTGGAGGCTGTCCTGGAACTAGCTCTTGCAGATCAGGCTGGTCTCAAACTCATAGAGATCCTTCTGCCTCTGCCTCCCGAGCGCTGGGATTAAAGGCGTGCGCCACCACCACCCAGCAATAAAGTTTTTTTTAAAATAAAGAGTCTCATGCTCTATGGACTGAGCTGGCCAGTGCAAGCAAGCATAGGAGAACTTACCAGGGCCCCTGAGACACTCTGAGGAGCCCTGGTTGCAGTGCTGGCACCAGCCAGGGTGATAGACCAGCTAGCTAACTGTGAGAGCTTCAGTTTGGCCAGCCTTGTTAGCACGCTCTGAGGAATGGACCAGGCAATCAAAGTGGGTTCCAGAGAAGAAAGATTCCAATCCGCACCTAACAGTTCCTCTCCTTCTGAACAGAGTCCACAGGTTTAGGAGTGCTCTGGTCCAGGACATCTCCCCTTCCCTGCTTCTCCCTCCCTTCCCCTAACTGCTGGGTTGGCATCAGAAAACAAGGAGGCACCAGTAATGGAAAGGCGAGGGCCCTAAGAGGAGGGGTGTGACAACACAGATTCCGTCTTTTCAGGAGAGTGTCCTTTGGTCACACTGGTCACAAGGCACAGTAGGTTTTGGAAGACAGCAGGCTTTGGGGTGAATAGCCTAGTGCAGGACCTGATCCAGCATCCAGGCTTGCAGCAGGTTACCCCCAAGGAGTCCTATGCAAAGGTTCGGGACCATGGCGGTCGGTCTATTTATTTAGGAAAATGAGACCAGCAAAGTGGACAAGGAGAACAAGAACCCCAAGGTCCAGAGTGTGGCGTGGTTGTGGGATCAGACAATAATATGGGGAGCTGGGAGCTGTGTCAGGGCAGGGCTGTGGCATTGGAAGCAGGTCATGAGATCAGTAGCAGTTTTGGCTCCAGGGTGGGGCCAGGGAGGCCTCCAGTCTAGGGCAGTCTAGGAGGCCAGGTAACCAGCGTCCACCAGGATGCCAGAGCCGCTGGTAGAGGCGCTGCTGTCGCTGAGCAGGAAGAGGATGCTGTTGACCACGTCCTCCACCTCTGCAGGAGGACAGAGCAGTCAGGGCTTCTGCCTCCCGCCCGGCTGCTGCTGCTGCCCCTCGCCGATTCCCCCACCCACATCCCCAGCTGACCTGCGAACTTCCTCAGTGGGTGGCGCTCCTTGAGCTTCTCGGCAAAGTCCGGGTCTGCATAGACTTTCTTGCCCATGTCAGTCAGCACCACAGTAGGGTTTACAGAGTTCACCCGGATCTGCCCCGCCCCCCAGAAGCCACAGCAGGTGGGCGGCACAGCCAGTAAACTCGCCCCGCCCACACAGCTCAGGACTGGCCACAGGACAAGCCTGATGAGCTCAGAGCACGCCCAAAGCCTCACCCCATCCTCACCCTCAACCTCCAGCCCTGCCCCAGGTGCCCCAGGTCATCTGTCCCTCAGGTGTGGGCCCAGGCCCCTATGCCTACCTTGTATGGTCCCAGCTCCATGGCCATGGCTTTGGTCAGCATGGTTATAGCACCCTTGGTGGAGCCTGTGGGAGGTGGGGAGTGCCCCTAATTATTCAGTCCTCCTTCTGGGAGTCCCACCCAGAACCTCCTCCTCCTCCTCCTGCTCCTGCTCCCACAATGAAAGGGTGCACTCACTGTACGTGGCCAGACCAGGGAAGGTGACATAGGCCACCATGCTGGAGACGTTGACAATGGATCCTGCCACTCCACGGTTAATCATGCCCTTGGCTACCATCTGGAAGCCCAGAGTTAGGGGTATAGCTCACTGTGCCCTATGCCATCCCACCCTGCCCAGGTGTTCCTCCTGCCGGGGCACAGAGCTCCTAACCGCCTCACCTGGGACACTTGCAACACAGAGCGCACATTCACATTGAAGGACCTGGCAGGAGAGGAACAATGGCTCCCTGCACCACCGGTCTTCAGCAACCCTCCCCAGCCTGCCCCCACTCCCCCCAGGTGCCCACCTGTCAAAGACCTCCTTGGTAGACTCTATGAAAGGCTGCATTAGCGCCACTGCCGCATTGTTCACCAGCAGGTCCACGGGGCCAATACGGCCCAGTGCCTTCTCTGTGGCCTCCCAGTCACCCAGGTCCACACACACAGGCTCTATGCCTGGACACTTCGAGAGACATTGTTTGGTGGCCTGGGTGAGGCAATGTCCCAGCCAGCTTCTGATGCACCCCTGCGGGTGGGGAGCAATCCCAGGCCAGGGCAGGGCTGCTGGGCCTCACCTCTTTGGCCAGGCTGACCAGGTCTGCGTTGGTGCGTGACACGGCCACCACTTTGGCTCCTGAGGCATGCAGGGCTTTCGCAGTGTCACGCCCAATCCCTATAAAGAGGTGATATGGTGGGATAAGGGCCCTGCAGGCTTGGCCACAGCTGGGATCAGGATCACAGGTAGAAGCAAAGACCCCCAGAAGGCAACTCATTCCTGGTAAGCTGCAGGGAAGGCTGCCTCTGGTGCCTATCCGCTTGCCCAGTCTGAATCTAGGAGAAATCCTGCAGCCATACTAGGTCCACCCGTCATGGGTATTGTGATGGCCATGCTGTCTTGGTGGGTCTCCGGCCAGGTGACATAAACGGGTCAGTCCGAGTCAGATTCTGGAGGGCTGAGCTGTGACAAGGTCACCTTGGGCCCCTATTCTGTTTTAGTTCCTCTTCACAATCTTCCCAGCCTACCCGCACTCACCTTTCCCTGCCCCCGTCACCAGGGCACTCAGGCCACTGAAATTCATCTTTATGCTCCCAATACCAGTGTGTCCCTGTAGCAAGAGATGGGCTCAGTTTTTATGGCTGGGCTGGCAGGCGGGGCAGAGGTGGAGCTAGGAGCCGACTGGCCTTGCTAGGATGGCATGATCCACTTCCTCCGTGGGCTAGGCCTCTCACTCCCCAAGTATGCCAGCCGGCTGCTTGTTGGGGTTTGAAGACAGGATGAGAAACTGCATGTGTGCACGATCTCAACGATTTACTCTCTGGCCCCTCCAAAAAAAAAAAAAAAAAAAAAGCATGCTGACTCCTGTCCTAAAATTTTAGTTATTATCTTGGGCTATTTTGCAAGGCATTATCCTTGGTGCCAAGCCACTGCCATCTTCAAAACAGCTATTCCTAGACTAGAAGAGGAGCTCACACAGTCATGTAACTGGAAAAGTCTGAGGCCTGGGGGATGCTAGGCAGATTTTTTTTTTTTAGTTTTTTTTTAAATTTTAAATAGCTTGTTTTACATGTCAGCTAGGCAGATTTTTACCACTGGCCAAACTTCTGATCTAGGAGAACAGATGTTTCAGATTTCTGATTTGCTTTCTGTGGACAGAAGCGCTGGCCGGCAACAGTTTTAGTGGACGAGAAGCTGGACTTTTCCACTCAGCCTTTGTGACCTGCCAGGACAGCTGTGCCCATAGACATGGTAGTGGTGAACCACTCAGCCTTGACAGTTCTCCGGAGGTAATCCAGCATCCTGGGTTGGCTCTGTGTGTGTTCCTGGGATAGAAACAGGCATCCAATGAACAAGGGCAGTAATCTGATTCCTGGGCTAGGTCAGGTGGCAAGTTTATTCTCATCTAACCCACCCAATACCCCCAGCATTCCTGAAGTCTGTCATCTTTCCTGGGTGATCCCCCACCTGCCCCCCCAGAGACTCAGCCCTCCGTGGCCACATTGAGGCAAATTCAGCTCTCTGAGGTGGGACTCCCCTTCTCAGAGCAGATGGGTGGACCCTTGAGGGAAAGATTTGGAAAACGGGATTAAATGTCCATCCTAGCCAAGGGCAGTGGTGGCATGTGCCTTTAAGAAAGACAAAAAACAAATGAAAATGCCCATCCTAGTGCTCCATCTAGGAAGTTGTCTAAGGCCATGCCAAGCCCTCTGGATCTTGTGTGATAGGGTTCATGGAAGGTGTTAGTATCCAGGCGTCTGTACTGGCCTGTCCTTGGGGTTCTGACAGGATATGCCCTCAGCTGCAGCCACTGAGAGCACCACCTGTGCACATTCACTGTGTTCCCTTTTAAAAGGGCCCTGACCACCTCCCACCCTCCTCTCTGTCTTTCTCTCCCTCTCTCTGTCTGTTCCCCCTCCCCTTCCTTTCTTCTGATGCTCCTGTCCCCAGAGGCTGGTCCCTCCCCCATTCCTCCTTTCCCCCCTTTTTATGATCCCTTTCCCTAATAAAAAACCCTGCCTGTCTCATGGCATCTTTCTCTGGCCCAGTTGCTTTTCTTAAATTGCAACAGAAGGAACGTTTCTTTGTTTCTTTCCAGAGGGGCCATGGCTAGGGCACAAGGCAGCTGTGCCAAGCAGAAGGTTTGGATACACAGACCACCCAAGGGACAGCCCAAAGCAGCAGATGTGCTCAGGCTCCCCACCTGCCGCCTTTCCCTTCTTGTAACCAGGGTCCACATGGAGACTGAGTGACTCTTTGGAAAAGTGCATGCCACCACACCTGGATTGTAAATTAAGTTTTACTGGAACACAGTTATGCCCACTTGTTCCTGACTACAGCTGTTTTCACATTTGCTAACAGTAGTGTTGGTAAATTTACGGCAGAGACGTTATGACCTGCAAGGTCTCAATGATTTACTCTCTGGACCTTCCAAAAAAAAAAAAAGCATGCTGACTCCTGTCCTAAAATTTTAGTTATTATCTTGGGCTATTTTGCAAGGCATTATCCTTGGTGCCAAGCCACTGCCATCTTCAAAACAGCTATTCCTAGACTACAAGAAGGGGGCTTTATCTAGAAGGCTATAGGAAAGCCATTGTCCACGTTAGGTAAGAACATTCCAGCGTAGCTATTTTCAGTGTGGTCACCCACACTTCTGTCCATTACCCCTCACTAACACTCTGTATGTAAGTCCCATACACTCATTGGTCCCCCCAAGGTGAACTGTGGTGGAATTTTCCTTTGGCCTCTAATTGGGACCTAAGGAAGAGAGGGTAGATGTCATTTACATATCTCCCAGGAGAAATGCCACTTGGAATGTATTTGTGTATTGTTTTCCTACTTTGGACAATATGCTGGAAATATACATTATACTTGTTATAATATCAAGGAAAAGTAGTGATTATTTAAAACGAGCTCACTGGTAGTCAGCATGGTGGGTGGGCAGAGGCAGCCCACCTGTGAGAACACGTCCTTGGTAAATAGCCATATCCTGCATATAGCCATTAATTATACTGTCTCTGATAAGAAAGTTCCAGGGTAGCCGGGCGATGGTGGCTCTCGCCTTTAGTCCCAGCACTCGGGAGCCAGAGGCAGGTGGATCTCTGTGAGTTGGGGGGGGGCAGCCTGGTCTACAGAGCAAGGTCCAGGACAGCCAGGTCTTTTAACAGACACATTGTCTTGAAAAACAAAAAAAAGTTCCAGGGCAACTATTCTGTATTCTCCAACAACATAGATTCTTCTTCTATTGGGAAAAAAAATTGTATTCTGAAAGAAAACATATGGATTGGGGCCAGTGAATGGGCAAACCCTGAGGCTCTCTGAGACAAAAGTCTGGGTCTGCACTTGTTCTAGTTAGCTTTCTGTTGCTGTGATGAACACTATGGCCAAAGGTAACTTTGGTCATAAAGGGAAGTCAGGGCTGGAACCAGAGGCAGGAATCAGCAGAGGCCACTGCTTTCTGGTTTACCCTCATGGCTTGCTCAATCTGCTGCTTGCTTTTTTTTTTTTTTTTTTTTTTTGAGACAGGGTCCTTCTATATATGGCTCTAGCTGCCTTGGAACTCTATGTAGATCAAGCTGGTCTAGAACTCACAGAGATACATACACCTGCCTCTGCCTCACCACTGCTGAGAGATTTATTTAAAGGTGTGTGCCGCCCGAAACTGTTTGTGTGTTAACCCAGGACCCACCTGCCCAGGGATGACCCTGCTCACTATGGAGTATGTGTTCTCACATACTAATTGTTAACCATTAAGCAAGACAAGACATCCCACAGATTTTGCCAATCTGATGAAGGCATTTTTTTTTTCTCATTTAAGATTTCTTAGCTGGGCGTTGGTGGCACACGCCTTTAATCCCAGCACTCGGGAGACAGAGGCAGGCGGATCTCTGTGAGTTTGAGGGCAGCCTGATCTACAGAGGGAGTCCCAGGACAGCCTCCAAGACAATACAGAGAAACCCTGTCTCGAAAAAAAATTTCTTCTTTAAGGGAAATTAGATGAGATCTACAGGGCAAACTGGGGGCAGGGGTGTTAAGGGGGAGAGGAGAGGAGGGGAGGGGAGGGGAGGGGAGGGGAGGGGAGGCCAGGCCGGGGGGAGGGATGCAGTGGGAGAATAACGAAGAGATACCTTAATAGAGAGAGTCACTATGGGGTTAGGGAGAAACCTGGTGCTCCCAAGAAGCCACAAGGAGGACCCCAGGTAAGACTCCTTAGCAATAGTGGAGAGGATGCCTGAACTGGCCCACCCCGTAATCAGATTGGTGAATACACCAACTATCGTCATGGAACCCTCATTCGGTAATTGACGGAACCAGGCTCCAGAGATTCACAACCAAGAACCAGGCTGATCTCCCGGGAATCCGGTCGAAGAGAGGGAGGAGGGAGCACATGAGCAAGGGAGGTCAGGGTTGTGATGGAGAAATCTACAGAGAGAGCTGAACCAAGCTTGCGGAAACTCATGAACTCTAGACCCACAACTGTGGGGACTCCATGGGACCAAACTAGGACCTCCATATGTGGGAGACAGTTTTGAAGCTTGGACTAGCTGAGGGGGCCCCTGACCACAATATAAACCTGGTACATGAGCTGGCTTGTTGGAGCCCACTCCCTATGGTGTGACGCCATGCTCAGCCTTAATGCATGGGAGAGGAGCCTGGTCCTGCCCCAACCTATTGTGCTAGACTGTGGACTCCGCATGGGAGCCCTTCCTGGTGAGGAGTGGACTAGATCACAACTGTTTGTGACTCCAGTTCCAGGGGATCTGATGCCCTCTTTCTGCCTCCCATGGGTGACCAGGCACACATGTAGTGCACAGACATCCAATGCAGGCAAGTATACATTAAAACACTTTTTTTTTAAATTCCCCCTTCCCAGATGTATCTAGGTTTGTGACAAGTTGACAAAAGCCAACCAGCATACAGTTCTTTCACAAATGACAAAGACAGCTTTCATCTTCTAGGAGAAATATTCTGAGGATCTCGTAATGTAAGTCTGTCAGTAAGTTTCTAATAGGCTGCTGTACAGACTGCCTCCACTATAGCCAGAGTAAAAGACATGGGCAAACCTGGGCGGATTTGCAATGTTTCAGATATCCTTTATCCTGTTAGGCCTGGGGGGAGGGGCGGTAAAATGGGTATAGGCACTTTGTGTACCGTCCCTCCCTTTCTATTTCCATGCCAAGTAGGCAGATGAGTGGTGCTTCTCGTATCTTACAGTGTCCTCGGTGACATCTACTCTCCGTGAGATCTAGGTCAACCAAGAATTCTAAATCAGCTCAGTGACATCTCATCTCC